GTCCGCATGAGCGTGTGCACGCAGGCACACTGACTATATTATTAATCGAAAAACTTACGTACTATTTTACAAACTAGCTTACAATCTACTTACTGGCTAAGAGGAGGTGCGGTGGGAAGGTGGGTTAGTGTACAGGGAGTTTTGTGGCTGGATGGGATGGTGTATTGGAGGGAGGTTACAGTAATTGTGAGTTAATTTCGCTTTCGTCTCTGTCTTGCGCTAAGGAGGAGCAATGGCCTAGGAGGGAGGTCGTTTCCGTGGCGGTCCTTGGCGTATATCCTTGGTGTTGGACGTGCTCTATAGTTGATTTCACCAAGTCTCGTACACTCGAGCGCCGGGTTGAATTGGCCATGAGCCGTGTGCTGTGCACGGCTGTTGAAGATCTTGCACTTCCAGTGCCGCTATCTTCTTCAGCATACTCGCGTGGAGATCGTGGGCTCTAAGGTGCTACGCTTCAAAGTCCAGCATCTCCCAGAGCAGGTCGGTGTCCAGGCAGCGGGGCATCTGTCCCGCACACTTGAGCGCGATCCGATATTGCCTCTCGATGCGCTCTAGGTTCGAGAGGGAGTAATTGGGCTAGAGCTGTACCACCCCGTAATCCATTATCGGGAGGATGCGGGCTTGGATTATCGCTAGCTTGAGGGATACTTTGCTTCGGTAGCCGATGATCGGCCCGAGCTTGCCTCTGACCTTTTTCAATTTGGTGACGACAATGTTGGTGTTAGCATTCATGGACAGTCGTGTGTCCATTTGCACCCCAAGGTATTTTATCGATGTTTTGTACGCAATTTTGGTACCTTTTAGTCTCACGTACGGTCTATATTTTTTCTTCTTTGTGAACATTATACACTCCGTTTTGTCCACATGGCACTGTAGGCCCCAGGGCGTATAGTAATTTATTATTGCCTCCACCGTCCCTTCGACGCGTCGGGTGGTGCAACGCCGCAGACGTCGGAGGTTCGAGAGGGAGTAATTGGGCTAGAGCTGTACCACCCCGTAATCCATTATCGGGAGGATGCGGGCTTGGATTATCGCTAGCTTGGTGTTGAGGGATACTTTGATTCGGTAGCCGATGATCGGCCCGAGCTTGCCTCTGACCTTTTTCAATTTGGTGACGACAATGTTGGTGTTAGCATTCATGGACAGTCGTGTGTCCATTTGCACCCCAAGGTATTTTATCGATGTTTTGTACGGAATTTTGGTACCTTTTAGTCTCACGTACCGTCTATATTTTTTCTTCTTTGTGAACATTATACACTCCGTTTTGTCCACATGGCACTGTAGGCCCCAGGGCGTATAGTAATTTATTATTGCCTCCACCGTCCCTTCGACGCGTCGGGTGGCTACGTCCGGGTCAGAGGTTGCTCTATTCTGGTTTGTCGGTGGGTCCGAGATGTTTAGAATGTAGAGATCATCGTCGTACTGCGATAATCTTTCTCCTCTCACTGTTCTATGGTCCTTGCCCAAGTCGCTCACGTACAGATTGAATATTACGGGTCCGAGAATCGAGCCCTCGAGTCTGGGTGGTCCTGAAGTGCCCGACCAGCCGACGATCTGCTAGATAGTTTTCTAGCATCTTTATGATGTTTCGAACGTCGTCGTTCTGTAGTTTCTTCACCAGACCCTGATGGTTGATGGAATCGAAGGCCTTGGGCAGTTCCGTCGATACCATCGCCACGCTCCTTCCTCCATTGATGGCGTCGGCAATGATTTTGCCGGTGCGCAGTATCTAAGTTGCAGTGCCACGGAGCTTGGTGAATCCGTGTTTATAATGAGGCTGGAGCTTCTCAACCGTGGGCTTCGGGCGGGCGAGAATCAGTCGCTCCATCAGCTTACCCATGATGTTGAGCAGCGTGATGGGGCGATATGACTTCGATTCTTTGTGGTTCTTACCTAACTAGTGGATGAATATGCAGGTGCCGAGTTTCCATCTGATTGGGAAGTAGCCCGTCCGCAGCACGTACTGCGCAACCAGCAGGTATGTCTCTCGAAATACCTTGCCACCAAGTTTCAGTGCGTCCGCCTTGATGTTGTCGAGGCCGGGCGCTTTTTTATTCTTAAATTTTGCCAGAGCGGTCTTGATTTCTTCAAGGCAGGTTGGCTCTAGCGGGTGGAACGGAGTGTAGTGTTCCGTTCCCTCGTCTTCTTTGCCGATGTGCGCCGTCTTAACGATGGCAGCGTCCCCCAGGCTGTTTGCCGTCTTCGCCTCGGTGTTTCATCCTGCGATGTGGGGCAGTCTGGTTATCGGTTTCTTGAGATTTCGCTGGATTCTCCACATAATGATTTCTTATATTTACGCGAACACTACACATTGAAATAATACTAGTTTTTACGGAATTTATCGCGTATATTTAACTTGATAATTACCCGACGTTTCGAGAGCTTTACAGCACCCATGGTCACGGGAAGGACAGATGTTCAACGTCCAGCTGTCATAGTTAACCGCAGTTACCATAGATTAAAATTAAAATTTAACTTTTGTTCCGATCTACACAGTATGAACTTATGGTATCATGGAGTCTTGCAGTTGTATGCTTGGGTTGGGATTTAATTTTATTTATTATAGGATCCCAAGCAGATGGTAGCACCCAGCCATCTTCTCTATTGAAATTAGGATGTTTTTTGATTTCAATAGCCTCGCGAATCATCCTTGGAAGGAATCGGTGTTCTTTAGCGAGGATTTGTGGTCTATCAAATCTGATGTAGTGACGGGGGCGATCCTGTACATGTTCACAGACTGCAGACTTCCCGGAGCGTCGATTCTTCACATCAGCTATATGTTCTTTGACGCGGGTTTTAATGGATCTTTTAGTTTGTCCTATGTAGGAGAGACCACATTCACAATCAAGCTTGTACACTCCTGCATCTTGCAGAGGGACGTTACACTTGACTGATGGTAAAAACTGACCAATCTTCTTCGGCGGCTTGAAGTATGTTTTGATGGAAGCGCGCTTCAAGATGTAGCCAATCTTGTCAGTGACTCCTCTAACATATGGCAGTACAGCAGGTACACGCTCGACTGTGGCCGGCTTTACTCGTTCTCTGTGACGTAGGCGCGGGACCCGAAGCTTGTTGTCATGCAAAACTTGCTTGACATGTTGGAGCTCGGCAGCCAGGTGTTTACTGTCACAGATCCCTAGTGCTCTCTGAAACAAAGATTTACCCACGGTAGCTAACTGTGAAGGATGGTGGTGAGAATCACCGTTTAAATATCTATCTGTATGGGTCTTTTTTCTATACACAGTATGGTTCAAGGTGTTATCAGGATTCCGAATTACTAACACATCTAGAAAAGCTAAGGAATTGTTTGCCTCTAACTCCATTGTGAACTGAATTTTAGAATTTATAGAGTTAAGATGGTCTAAAAATGCAGTTACTTTATCTAAAGGTAGAATTGTGAAAGTGTCGTCTACGTACCGCTTGTAGAAACTTGGATTTATGGGAGAAGTAAGCAGGGCTTTCTCCTCAAAGTCTTCCATGAATATGTCGGCGACAATGGGAGATACAGGTGAGCCCATCGCCACACCATCTACTTGCTTGTAGAACTCCTCCTTCCACAATAGGTAGCCAGATGTAAGGCAGTGTCTGAGTAATACTGCATATTCTACGGGCATGTTGTTTTCTTCCAGCCTTCTAGTTACAATTGAGATGCAGTCTTCAACAGGTAAGCATGTAAACAATGACTGCACATCAAAACTGACCATAGTTTCATTGTCTGCCAGACGTAGATCTTTAATCTCGCTGACAAAATGGTAGGAATCCTTTATGTGTGCTCTTGTATGTCCCCTGAGCGGTGAGAGTATTTTCGCTAAGTGTTGAGCCAATCTGTAAGTTGGTGAATCGATTTGGCTCACTATGGGGCGTAATGGAGCATTGGGCTTGTGTATTTTTGGTAACCCATACAACTTTGGTGATTTGGCGCACGTAGGTATTATCCATTTTACGTCCAGATTTAATTTTTCGGTGTGTTTCTTTATGAGGTCACTACTCATGATTGTTTTTTGATTGAGAACTCATGTGTTAGTAATTCGGAATCCTGATAACACCTTGAGCCATACTGTGTATAGAAAAAAGACCCATACAGATAGATATTTAAACGGTGATTCTCACCACCATCCTTCACAGCTAGCTACCGTGGGTAAATCTTTGTTTCAGAGAGCACGAGGGATCTGTGACAGTAAACACCTGGCTGCCGAGCTCCAACATGTCAAGCAAGTTTTGCATGACAACAAGCTTCGGGTCCCGCGCCTACGTCACAGAGAACGAGTGAAGCCGGCCACAGTCGAGCGTGTACCTGCTGTACTGCCATATGTTAGAGGAGTCACTGACAAGATTGGCTACATCTTGAAGCGCGCTTCCATCAAAACATACTTCAAGCCGCCGAAGAAGATTGGTCAGTTTTTACCATCAGTCAAGTGTAACGTCCCTCTGCAAGATGCAGGAGTGTACAAGCTTGATTGTGAATGTGGTCTCTCCTACATAGGACAAACTAAAAGATCCATTAAAACCCGCGTCAAAGAACATATAGCTGATGTGAAGAATCGACGCTCCGGGAAGTCTGCAGTCTGTGAACATGTTCAGGATCGCCCCCGTCACTACATCAGATTTGATAGACCACAAATCCTCGCTAAAGAACACCGATTCCTTCCAAGGATGATTCGCGAGGCTATTGAAATCAAAAAACATCCTAATTTCAATAGAGAAGATGGCTGGGTGCTACCATCTGCTTGGGATCCTATAATAAATAAAATTAAATCCCAACCCAAGCATACAACTGCAAGACTCCATGATACCATAAGTTCATACTGTGTAGATCGGAACAAAAGTTAAATTTTAATCTATGGTAACCGCGGTTAACTATGACAGCTGGACGTTGAACATCTCAGTCCTTCCCGTGACCATGGGTGCTGTAAAGCTCTCGAAACGTCGGGTAATTATCAAGTTAAATATACGCGATAAATTCTGTAAAAACTAGTATTATTTCAATGGATTCTCCACATCTAGGCTCGATTCTCATTGGGCTCATCTAGTTTGGAGATCCAGTCTTTCTCTTTATACTCGGCTAAAGCCTTAGCGGCATCGTGTTTGGCCTTGTTGTATAATGTTCTGGCCGCCTCATAGACGATCAGTGGGCCCAGTCTCGCACGATGCTTCAGTTTTCTCATTGCTCTTCTTGCATCCAGTAGAGCATTAATGTTGTCTGGAAGCAGTTCTCTTCTGTTCGTTGTATGAAGGGGAGCAAGTTCATCGAGCGTCTCGGTGATAATATCCTCCAGTCGCTCGATGTATCTCTCGCACTCTTCGTCTGTGTTGATTTCAACTGGCAGCAATTCCACAGCGCTTCTGCCCAGGGCCTCCTGGTGCTGATTTCTCAGTTCCAGGTTGGCGGAGTCTAAAATGAGGGACACCAAGAGGATAGCTCTTGGTGTTCCTCATTTTAGACTCCTCCACATCACACGGGAGCGCCACGTCGAGTAGCCACGGAAGATGATCCGATCCAACGTCTTACAGTTGTCTCGTCCTACAGTCTAGTTGCTGGTGGGTGAAGATCGCGGTGTCCAGTATCGACGCCCCTGCGCTAGTTGGTCTGGAGGGCAGGCCAGTGTTCACCAGATAGCACAGTCCTTGAGCAATTGCGTCCCTGACTGTGACTGCCAGGCCTCTATCGCTTGAGTGTAGTAGTTCTCTCTTATGCAGGTTGAGATCGCCAACGATGATGGATGGCTCGTCTATTAGGGTCTCCTCGAGCTCAACGGTCAGATCACTCTGGTCAGGAATTCGGAGATATAGTCCCTTGATTTTGAGGTACTCCCAAGTTGAGTGATTGGTGTAGAGTTTGATGGCCACTCCCTCGATGTTGCGTCGCTCGTCTCCCCAGCCCGGGGTCACCTCCGTCTCAACCTAGCGGCAGCCTCGCCGGACGTACATGGCAGTGACCAGGTGTGGTTCAGTAGCGTGATAGAACTTGTCATAATCTGGGATATTGAAACTGTTCGTCTCGAAGTTTATCCTGCACTCATTGATCACGATCACTAGGGTTGAACATTTTTGTATGAAAAAATTTTTTTTCTAGAATCTTTTTGGAATACGCGTACGAACTCCCCCCATAGACTTGAAATTTCATTTTTCAAGTTTTTATAGACGCGATGTATAGTAGACCCTACATACAAAATTAGAAGTAAATGTTATATGTTATGAATGGAAATAATAAAATAAAGATTAATTTCATTAATAAAATAGTTTATTTTGAATGTGAATACAGGTTAAAAAAGTTATGTCTCTATGTATAATGTTATTTTTTAAAGCAGAAATCCTTTTTCGTCTCAAACTTTGGCATGACTTTTCGAGATGCTAATTTAGATTTTATGAATCCCTCTTCTTTTCTTTTCGCATACACTTAGGCTGCGTCCCCAGTAGGCAAACAGATAGCGGGATGGCCGTGCAGCAATAAATTTGAGTTAACTGCAGACTCAAATCAATTTTCGTGCGTCGCAAGCAAACTGTTAAGAGTTAGTCGCTTATTTAGTCGACCGACTGAATTATCACTTTGCTTTTGTTGTACGAAGGGAGTGATTGTGTTGGTCACGATGGATATTTTTGAAGTAATTGGTATCTTAGAAGCGCTGAAAAAGGATAAAAGGAAGCACTGGGTTCACCCATTATACAAGAAAAGGTTGAGCATTGGAGAATTTCACACTCTTTACCCAGAACTAAGGAAACATTCAGAAAAGTTTTACGACTATTTCAATATGAAATCTATAACCCAGTACATAGCTAAAAATAATATATCAAGAGATACATTATGTCCCGAAGAACGGCTTACTATAACTTTGAGGTAAGTAAATAATTAACGCTTTAGGATTTTAAAAAAATATGTTATTTTTATTTTAATACAAAGTCACTTTCGCATTTATAGTTTTTAATTTAACAATCACTTTCTAAAATTACTGTATTATTAAATTGAATTAGAAAAAAGTATGGTAACATTAAGTTGGTAACCAGTCATCCCTCATCTTCAATGTGGTTTGAATCGCCTCGCAATGTTGCTTCTATGTCTTCTACTATGACTGTTTCGAGGGTAGTTTTGCACATTTGGTATACTGCTGCTTCCACTCGCATAGCCATACTGATGTGGGTACTTGTAGGCATTCGTCCATCCAGTTTGCATCATACCACCGTCATAATTATTATGTACACTATATTTTATATTTTTAATAATTTTCATCACTTAGAACCGAAATTCAAAATTCTGTGTTGGGGACATTGTCTTCATTTCCGGTAAAATATTTAGTAGAAAGTTCATATCTGGATCGTTTTCTCTTTTTTTCCATCGAGTTAATTAGTGTTTCTTGAAACACAGTCATCTTTTTTGGTCTACTGACATTAACTACCGAGTCAGTAGAATCATTTTCATCTAAAATAGCGCTACTGTCGCTAGATGTCTCGGCGCTAATATTGCCAGATGTCTGGTTGCTAGCTCTAGAAACATTTAAAAAGTGTAACATGTCCAAGTATGGTGTCTTGCGTTTTTTGTTGCCCCACTTCCGCTTTTGACTGAGGAATCCTTATTTTTTTCTCTGGTGTGATAGTCCCGCAAACCCTTCCATTTTTTTTGTAGGTCTTTTACTGAAACAGAAATAATCGTAGTTCAATATTCTTTCCAGATTCCTGTCAAGTGGACTAAGTTACAGAAAAATTGCACAAGAGTTTCTTGTTGGAAAATCGACGGTATCGAAAATAATAAGTGAAACTGCATGCATTATATGGGATATTTTACAGCCACAGGAAATGACGGAACCTTCTGAAGAATTGTGGCTAGAAATAGCAAAACGATATATAAAAAACCAACTATCCTAATTGTATAGGATCTATCGATGGCAAGCATATCCGTATTAGAAAACCACCAAAAAGTGGGTCTAACTATTTTAATTATAAGAAGTTCTTCTCAATTGTTCTGTTAGCCGTAGCAGATGCAAACTGTTCTTTTATAGCTATTGTTGTAGGTGCTTGCGGACGAAATGCTGACAGTAATATATTTAAAGAAAGTGGTTTTGGCTAAAAATTGGCGTGTGGGTCTCTGAAGATTCCTAACTCAACTAAATTGCCTAATTCAAATGGATTGCCCCTAACCTTTCGTGTTTCTTGGAGATGAGGCATTTGGATTACAAAAGCATATCTTGAGGCCTTTTCCTAATAAAAGTTTAAATAAGCGCGAAATTAAGAGCGAATTTACAATTGTCATAGTCGAGCTAGGAGATGCGTGGAATGTGCATTCGGCATCCTAACAAGCAAATGGAGAGTTCTGCATACACCGATCGCTACTAATGTGAATACAACCATCGCTATCGTAAAAGCTGTTTGTATTTTACATAATTTTGTCATAGCAAGAGAACAAGCACAATATGCACATATTTCGCGACGTACCTCAATAACTCTTACAAGTTCAAGGAGCCAAATTATTACTGTATCAAATTCTGGAAAAATAACAAGAGAAAACTTTAAAAACTATTTTCTTAACGAAGGAAAGCTACCCTGGCAAGAGAAATATTTGTAAGTTGTAGCTACAGGAAGAAATAGTGTAACGGAGTGTGTAAAGCCGTAAATGCTATGTAAATTATGATACTTTGTTTTATGTAGTGAGTGATACAAGTATATTGTTGAATAAATAATAAATTCATTAGAATGGAACTTACTTCTTTTTTTGTTTAGTGTTTTCTTCTAAGTTTTGCCAATCATCGTATATAATATCAGCGACTTCATTCCAATTGCTCTGCTTTAATACTCTGTTGCTGTATTCTTCACTCGACATGTTCCATACGCATGGTCTATTCTGTATTTCACTAATGAACCTTTCCGTATCAAAGGACATCTTGGATTTTCAGTGATGTGTGTTTCCAACTATCCGAATAATCAGTTTGCGGCAAACTGAGTCACTCGTCGGCCAACAAGTTTTTACTCTGGACAAGATCCGTTCTTCCTAGAACCATTAGTCTGTTAGAGTGTTGGTCTTCTAAAAATATTTGTTCCTCTTATGGTACTTTTTTCTCTCACACAAGTACAGCTTATGTATTTTTTACATTTACATGCAGCTATGTCAAAAAGCTTTCTACTTTGTACTCAAAACTCTTCTAACTTTTCTTCCTTAAGTTTCTTCAAAGACTTTTTTAAACTATAACATTTTGAGTGATTACTTTTTATTAACTGTAAAACTCGTTTGTGTGTGACAATTGGAATTGAAGATTTTATCCACAATTCTTCGATTTTCGTTGCAACTATTTCTGAAACCTACTAAATCAAAATTCTGAATTTTTGTTTTCGTTCCACCCTAACGATCACCGAGGGTCGGTGCTTCTGCGCCAAATTTTTAATCTTATTGAACTTCTTTTGCATACTTTGCGCGTTTAGATGTAATATTTGCACACCTCTCATTCTCTTTGTCTCCGCAGGTTGTCTATTGTCCATTAACAGTGGTTGCAGTTTTGGCTCTCTTGATTATGAGTAGTTCTGTCTTCAGACTGTTCATTTCTGTTCCCATGTTGTTTACTTCAGCTACCACAGAGTCCATGCGCTGGAGGATGGCCAGCAGGATGTCCATGTTCGGCTGGTCGGTGGACGTAGTCAGTGCTCTGCCTTGGTGGTGAGGGGGGCGCAGGGCCGAGCTCTTCATCGGTGGTGATCGAAGTGCTCGAGGCCCCCAGCTGCGGGAACTCCTTGTTGCTTCTCAGAGCTTGCACGAAGGTAGTCTCCTTCCTGACCCGCGCAGCTTCTGATCTTTCCTTGGCCTTGACCTGGCGGTCCAGCAGGACTCGCTTTCTGATGGCTTGCTGTTTCTGGAACGCAGGGCAGTTAACCTGCTTTGGCTCCGTGCCCCTCGTGTTTGCAGTTGGAGCCTACCGTGATGGTAGCTCCCGTAGCTGTGACCGTGATTTTGGTTGGATCCTTTTTCGTGCCGTAGCAGGAGTGCTTCGTATGGTCGAAGGCATAACAATTCCTACACTGGTTAATATGAGCTAAATTCTCCATGCATGGCTAAGCCTTGTTCTTCTTCGCGCAGAAGATAGTCCTCTGCGACGTGTCAAAGGCGTGCAGAATATGTTTCACGGTGTATTTGTTTTCAAAGAGCAGTAGGTGTAGTCTGCCTGATTTGCAGATTGGTTTGACTCTCAACATTGTAATCCTGCATCGGTTGATCTCTGCAATCGCCTCCACCGTTTCTCTGAAAGTTTCATTCTTTATGACGATCTTCGTCTAATTAATAGGTCGTCATGTTCCTCTCCCCCATGGGTTTAGGGGCTATCACTCTGGCTGGATTGAGTTCTTCAATTTTCTTGAGGATATTTCTCCTCGCATCTATGGATGATGGTGATTTTTCAAAAAATTCAATATTGTGCATATAAATGCACAGAGTATTCCGGCTCATTACCCCGATATGCTGGCCAGCTTTGATGGTGATATCATTCATACAATTTTAGTTTCAGAATCATGGTTAAAACCATGTCTGCCATCTATTTCCTATTCCTTTCCACTTAATACACAATGATCGGACTGTTCGGGGCGGTGGTGGTGTTGCTGTTTACCTTCGTTCTTATATTCCATTTTCTATTGTTCGTCTATCACCTCAATCTCAAAATCAGAACGAAGCGGAATACTTATTTATTGAAGTTCACCTGTCGCACACCAAATTACTTCTTGGTGTTTTTACAGCCCTACTTCTTCAGTTGACTGCTTTACAACTTTGGATAGCTTTCTTGAAGAGCTTACTCCATCTTACACACACTGTGCTAATGGGTGACTTTAATACCTGCCTACTTAAAGAAAATGCCCGCTCCCGTTGGCTTAAATCTCTGGTTGAAGCAGCTAATTTAAATATTCTTCCCCTTTCTGATTTTTTTCTCTCTCAAAACTCATTTTTTTCCTAACTGCATCCCCTCTCTTCTTGATTTGGTTATTGTTTCTTCTCTCGACCACGTTGAAAAATATGGTAAATGTGCTGCTAATGCCTTCTTTTATCACGATCTTTTATTTCTTTCTTACAAAATAGGACCACCCGAAGCCAAATCCTCTGCGTACTGGATTACCGACCCGATTGGAAGGCTGTAACAAACGCTTGTACTGTTGACGAGCAGTATTTGACTCGCTTCTCATTAAGATTTACGATGTACATGTTCCTGTTCGTCCAGTTCATGTACGCCATCCTCCAGCCCCATGGTTAACTGAAGACCTTAAGAAAATTACAGCGAAAAAGAATGCTGTAAAGACCAGGCACAAGTCAGATCCTACAAATGACATGATTCGGGAAAAGTCCAGGTTCCTACGTAATCAAAGCAACAAGTTGTATAGAGACTTACGACGACGCCATATTCATAAATCTATTCAAAACGAAGATCCAAGCCATGTTTGGAAATTCCTAAGGTCTCTTGGAGTTGGGAAATCACATTCAAGCTCGATTCAAAATGATGTAGATTTAAATTTGCTTAATCAGCACTTTTTTTCTGCTTCTTGCACTGATAATGTTGCAAAGTCAACTACAACTCAACTTTCAGCGTTACCCACTCCTGACTATCCTCCATTTGTGTTTAGGCAATTTGCAGATTGTGATGTTAGGAGAAACATACTCTCTATCCATTCCAACACTGTCGGAAGTGATGATATCAGTCGTAAAATAATTATTCCTTTACTTGATATATTAACACCTATTATTACTTTCATCCTAAATTTTTCTATATCCACATCCTCTTTCCCTTCCCAATGGAAATATGCCCAAATCATTCCTTTGCCCAAAAAGCTAATCCTTCGAATTATTCCGAGTATCGTCCCATTTCAATTCTTCCTTTTCTGTCCAAAGTCCAAGAACATCTTGTCCAACAACAATTAAATTCATTTTGCACAAGAAATGATATCATTAATTCATACCAATCCAGATTAAGATCGGGATATAGTACGACTACAGCGTTATTAAAAATCACTGACGACATACGTTTCGGAATGGATAACCGCCAAGTCACAGTGATGGTGTTACTGGATTTCAGCAATGCCTTTAATGATGTAAATCATGATATACTAATTCGTGTACTGCTTTTTCTTAACATATCTCCAACTGTAATTGCCTGGTTTCGTAGTTACTTATATGGACGTCGCCAACGTGTTCTGGTACAAGACAGAATATCTTCTTGGCTTGATACCGTTGCTGGCGTTCCACAAGGTGGTGTGTTATCCCCTCTCTTATTTGCACTCTTCATAAATTCCATTACCTCCAGAATATTTTCTCTCTACCACTTGTATGCTGATGATCTCCAGATATATCTACAAACCACCGTAGAGGATCTGCCAAAAGCAATTTGTGATATAAACAAGGACCTAGTGTGTATTTTTGACTGGAGTCGATCTTATGGGTTAACTGTTAATCCGATAAAATCCCAAGCTATTATTATTGGTAGTTCAAGAATAATCTCCAAATTAAATAAAACTGAGTTCCCCATAACATTTAATGATTTCTTATAAGGACGTAATGAAAAACTTGGGAATCTTGATAGATTCTAGCCTTTCTTGGTTTCCTCAAATCAACGCAGTGTCTCGTAAAATGTTTGCAGCTTATGGTTCACTCCGAAGAATGAACTACTTCTTACTCATCTCCACCAAAATTATGGTTGCCCAATCTTTACTGCTCCCTGTCCTCGATTATGCTGATCTAAGTTATCTAGATATTACCGAAGAGCAACTTAACAAACTTGAGAGACTCCAAAATATGACCATGTATCAGAATACCGCGCTAAGCTCAAGTGGCTTCCAATCCGTCTTCGTCGGAATACTCATATCCTTTCCGCTCTCTACTGCGTTTTATTTAATATATCAAGTTCTCCCTACCTTAAAGAACGTTTCTAATTTCTCAGCTCCTCTCATAAACTTTCCCTTCGGTCCTTAGAAAACCTTTCCCTTCTATGGCCTTTCCACTCTTCTACATTTTACAGTAAATTTTTTTCAGTTCTTGGAGTGAAGCTTTGGAATTTCTTACCATCAACTATAAAACGTGTTCAAACAATAGACTCCTTTAAAAACCAAGTTAAAAAACATTATCTTTCCTTCTAAATTATCACTCCTCCTTTTATCTATTCCTGTCGTTTTATGATCACTAGTCTGTCAATTAAATAAATTCCGGCGTGTTTATTAATTTACTTTTATATTTGTAGATTAAAATATTATTTATAGTGCACTCTACCCATTAATTAACTTTTCACTTATTTTTATTTCCTATTTAGGTTGTCTGGAAGAAATTTCTGCATAGCAATAAGACCGCCTTTTGTTTTTCTCTTTGTTTGTTTCTTGTTATGTTGTTTTCTTAGTGTTCAATTATTGTATTGTATTGGTGTCACCTTTCAACATATTGTGATCAGTCAAACATACTACTCACTCAACTAGAATATCCTGTTCCAAAAGAGAATTGAGATTTAAAGTTAAAAGATCTGACTTACTTATAACGCCATTAATGTTTTGATGTAATATATTTATATGTTTATACTTAACGAAAAAATGCTTTGGATTATTCTGCAATTACATGCTCATCACACTGTGGGTAACTCTGGTGTGTGAGACCGAGCGTCACCCATAGAATTCATTGCAATTGACGATTTTGCGGTGCATTTACATATATCATTTCTTGCTTCATCGATGCTACACGTAGTGTCCATGTTATATGGAAATATTGATATGACGATAAGTATTCGTTGCATAATATTTTTATATATATTCTGTAATCCATAATTGCTGATTTTAACAGATTTGTAAGAAAACGTCATACGAGAGATTATAATTCGAATAAAAAATATATGCATATCTATAGTATTGTACATCCAAGGATAATAAGTTATTAAACATTTCTATTTTATTATTATTTATTGGGGCTCCCCATATATATATATATATATATATATATATATATATATATATATATATATGTAGCCGTGGAAGGAAAAGGGGAGATCTCCCGCCAGGAAAGGTGTTCTGCCTGGGGAGCGGCCGACACTCCGAGTGATATTTCGGAGAAGTTCTATATATACTGTCTATGATTCGGAATGTTGAAGCGGATTTAGGCTTCGGTGTGTTTTCGCTTGTGGCGGCGACGACAGCGCCGCTACATATATATATATATATATATATATATATATATATATATATATATATATATATATAACATATAATAGACATAGATTTGACAGGCTCAGAACAATTTACAGTTTTCTTAAAGTCATGTTCTCCAATCAGGATTAAATAGTCATTAATAGTATAGTTTCGCAGCTTTTTTAATACCTGCTAACATTTCCAATACTCCACAGTTTTGTGTAATATAGCGACAGTAGTTAAATTATTCAGCAAATGTTGATTCAATATCCTATAATCTACCTTTCACACCACAATTAGTTAAAATACGGAGTTTCCGTTTGGCAAAAAAAGTGCTAGCAAGCTATACAAGCGCTGAAATAGTTTTCGGCCAGGGCACGATTGCTGCTTAAATACCGCTGACACAATCCGCCCTTTTGTATATTTATTTTGTTTTGAAAGTTGTTTTATGCAATTTCAATATAAATAATAATGTCGGTCCAAAAATAGTAAAATATATAGGTGGAAATGTGCAATTTGATGTTTCTGCGACGGATGATATACATCATAAGCTTCAAACCGGTAAATACCTTATGTTTTATATGTTTTAGGTTACGTTTACTGATTTATTTCTTTACTTCCTAACATATATTGATAATTTTTTTATTAGATTCAATTGATTTTCATGAACTTCTTAATAGTTATTAATAATTGAGGGGTCTACTTTCAAAATCCACTAAAATGCTTTTTAATAAATATTGTGAAACTAAAAATTTTAGTTAATGATGGGCTTTAGGAAAAAAAATGTTCATGTTACAATTTATTTTTAGGTATTATTCGTGTGGCAACACTTTGGCTATGTTTTTAATTCAAAAATGGCATTAATTAGGGAAATATAACTAAAAATGAAAATGATGTCACTTGTTGCAGGTAATGGTATACGGCACTAATAATTTCATTACTGCCTTTGTTGTAGCTAGTCTCTAGCACAACAAAGGCATTAATGAAATTATCAATAATAAGAATGAACATTTTCTTTGTTTAATTTTGCTTTAGAATTACCTTCTACTTAGCAAAATGATAAAAGCTGAACTGCCTGCTGAAATAGGTGGATTGATCAGGAAGCTTAGGTAAAGCTTGATTTTTTTGGCAATCAAAAGTAATCGTTTTCAGAAAATTCGCATCTTCTTGAAGGATTTTATAGAAGGCTTTGTATTTCAATCTGTGAATTATTTTTTCGGTGATTAGTTGGCTTTTGTTTCTAGGATCAGTCTCAGCTTTCATCTGCTCTTGTAATGAAATACTAGTAGAACAAACGTCTATCCTTGGTGACTCAAAACCAATATTATAATCTGTACAAAATATTTTTCTAAAGAAACTTTGCTTTACTTTCAAGTCATATTCACGTTCTGAGTTATACATACGCTACATCTTTCTTATATTCAGCTCGGGTGGAAGATATAATCTTTTTGAATCTGTGCGACAATAATGCCTTTCTTAAGCTTTGAAGTTTTCTATAAACCATTGCACAGACAGTCGTTTCGCTTCATAATTCATGGATTTTCGATCACCGCCACGTCTTTCTACTGCCTGAGCACGTCCGGATGTATAAAATCTATTAATGACTCCCTTCACTCTGTCAACATTAACCAAAAAAGCGCCTAAAAAAGTTTTTTGACACACAGGTATCAATCGAGCATCTTTATTTATAATATGATATTTTGCCGAAATTTTCCTTCTGATAAAATGACATTTGTTTTTTTTTGCTTTATTTACCGTGCAGTACTTTAGAATGAAATTATCTTGAGATATCTTGGTTTTGCATTTGTAGAAATTTTCATGAAACCTTCTTCGCTGTCAATTTATCACATTTGAACGCTTTTTTGTCATGGCCACATCGAGGAAATATTGGCAATCCTTTCCTTTTATATCTGAAACAATAGTGTTAATGTTGAAGCACCACACCAGCTTTTCATAAACATTGCATTCATTGTAGTACATCGTAGAGTATTTTTCAATATTTGCTTTAATTATGTTTTTATACCAAAAATCTGCACAGGCATTACCTATCTCTAAAGCATGTTTATAGGACAAATACATCCCTACACATACACACAAACACACATGCACAAATAGATACCATTTTCATCATCATCTTTACAGCCCTTCACAAGTCCACTGCTGAACATAGGCCTCCCCCAAGGTATGCCATTTTACTATAACATAATTCCCAATTCTTAAAAAATACTGTAGTTAAATTATAATAATTTTAAGGTTTCAAATAAAACTTTTCCCTATACAAAAACGTCAAATTTAAAGCAAATTTGTTAGTATCCGTCCCGATTTACTAAATGTGTTATTTATACAAGTAAGAAAGAGCACGAGATTTGTCTTTAAGTACGGCAGTTAGTACCTAAACCAAATTCAAACTGGATAAGTTCGACAATTCAACATTTTGCAAAATATCACATTCGAAGCAGTTACACGGTCAATTTAATTTTAAAATCACCAAAAACAAAATTTATTATATACACAATGGTTAAACATTGTATCGTAATTTAAAACTTAAACCTTAGAGTTAATATGAAGAACTGGACATATATAAATTGATAATGATAAACGTCACCGGACTCATACGGTCTGAAACTATATATACGTAATTATTTCTACCTGGCTTCATTCTGCATAAAGGCAGGCGTCGACTACAGCCGAGGCGAATCTCATCGAGCGCGTCAAACTGAGCCGAATCGCCTCCTGGGTGCGTTAATCACTGACGCGTTGCGTCGAATCGAAATGAATCGTAGTTATTTGCCCGTGCTCCGAGTTGGAGATTGTGATAAATTAACGATGGATAGCTCGGATGAAGAAATGTTTTTATTTCAAATTCTATTTGATGAAGAGAATAGAATAAAAAAGAAGCAGCGGTCAGTAAAATACTGGGTCCATGATATCAACAGAAAAAGAATTATCCACGGAGAGTTTTGCCATTTGTTTTCTGATCTACAAAAGGACCCAAGCAAATTTTTCCAGTACTTCCGAATGACCTTTGAAAAATATCAGGAGTTACTGAACATCCTGGATCTGAAGAAACAAAACACAAGATTTAGAAAGCCTATTCCGTCAGAAGAACGGCTAGCTTTATGCCTAAGGTATGATAAAATAAAACAATTTTTTACTTGAAAATTCTTTACTTATTTCCATTATCAATTTTCATAGTGATACTTTATTTTTGAAATCGAATATATTCGTTCAATGGACTTGCATAGTTTTGAGTTTGCGATTGCAACGGGGATGTTGCCATTTGTGAAGTGCCTTCAACAGATTGAAGTTGACTGGTATTTAAAATTATATATGACTGTCGTGAACTAGATCCATCAACATCTGTTGCATATTCTTGCCTGCTTGAAGAACTTGATGCAATAGGGGTTGAGATGTTAACAGTCGCATTTCTTTGAATATTTTCTTCCGCTTCACAAACGATATTGAACACGGCTCTTTTCACACGTAATCGCAAATCTGGAGAAAACTGCGACACAGTATGGCCAAGATTTTTAAAAAACATTATAATGGGATCCTCTTCTTCTTGTCTGTCATGACTGTATTTTTTATCCAAGTAAGACTGGAAAAGGGATTGCGTACTACCAGGTAGAGGTAGTCTTCGGTGGTGGCGTTTTTGATATAGGTGATCCGGGCGACATTGTTGATGATCCATGTGCTGGCGAAGCAATGTTGACTGAAGTGGATGAAGTGAAGCTATGTTCTTCATCATCACTTAATTGTGCAGGAACGTTTGAGAGAGATTGCGATTCAGCATGTATATACGGCGTGAGAAAACTCAGCTCCTTGGCAAATCGAATGGGTTTAAAATTTTTCGCCGCTTGGCCACTTTTTGTTTTCCTTAAATTACTTGCCTTTCTAAAATTTTCGCGTATCTTCTTCCATTTTTCTCTGCATTTGTTGCTAGAATAAAATATATTTGTTATTTTTTAATATGAGCGGTATAATATGAGCAGTAGTTAACATCATACAACAGATAATAAAAGGTGTTTAATATTTTTTTTCAGATTTCTGGCTACGGGCAATTCCTTTAGATCGTTGGCATTTAGCTTCAGAATGGGAGAGAGAACTGTAAGAACAATTGTGTATGAGACGTGCAAAGAAATATGGAATAAACTACAACCCAAGCCTCCGACAGAACAAGAATGGAAAGAAATTGCACATGCTTTCTACGATAAATGGAATTTTCCAAATTGTATCGGTGCATTGGATGGTAAACACGTAGTAATAGAATGCCCGCCAAATACTGGTTCAAAATATTACTGTTATAAAAAACATTTCGATTGTGTTTTTAGCATTAGTTGACGCCAACCACAGATTCATATTTTTGGATATAGGTGGCCTTGGCAAAAACTCAGATGGCTGCATATTTGCTAACTCTGCTTTAGGAAAGTCATTGTTCAAAAAAAATTAAATGTACCGAGTAATGAATGTCTACCAGGCACAGAGGAAGCATTGCCCTATGTCATTGTTGGGGATGCTGCTTTTCCACTCCAAACGTATTTAATGAGACCATATCCAGGCAATCAAACAGTAAATAACGAGGGAAAAAAAGGTTTTCAATTATCGCCTGAGTCGAGCTCGTCGCGTCAGTGAAAATGCTTTTGGTATACTTGCCAGAAGATTTAGAATTTACGAAAGAAGATTGTCTTTGACTCCTGACCATGTTAATATTGTCGTAGCAGCAACATGTTGTTTACATAATTTTTTGATAAATAGCTCGACATATTGGTCTGATGAAGATTTGCGGGAAAATGTAGCAAGCGGTGGATTAATTAATTTACGACAAGTCGGCGGCAACAACAGTACTTGAAATCAGAGAGAAATTCAAAAATTATTTCATGTCTGAGATAGGTTCAGTTCCATGGCAAACGAATGTTGTAAGGAGGGGATTTCAACGTACTGTTAGGATGGCTCGCCTGGGGTCCTTTTTTTAAAAAAAGACACCTTTACTGCTGCAAAACTAATTTAATTTAATTTACACTTCGGAATATTATAAACTATAACAAAGTTGTGTACCGAACAGAGGTTAGAGTTTGACTGCCTCAATTATATGAAAAATCACTTTTATATACTTTATGTAATGTAGGGTAGTAGGTTAAGACTGATTATATAGGTGGCGGGTAAATTAAGATAATACAGGGAATTCATTATGGAATAAACTGTTATAGATTGCGTTACGTTCTTTGTGTTCTCTCCGGCTTTTATATACATCACATTGGCGACGAGGATAAAAACGTAGTTTTATTGTGTTTTTAATCGTTGTGAGTAAAAGTTTACAAGTTAATTCGAAGACAATGTCGATTGGAAAAGTGAACGAGTTCGATGTAAAAACCGGGGTGTGGTCGTCGTATGTCGATAGACTTGAGATGTATTTTACGGCAAATAAAATAAGTAGTGATCTCAAGTTGCCCACGCTAATAGCGGTCATGGGCGATGAGGCCTACGAGTTGCTAGTGAACCTGGCTAGCCCCGTGAATCCGTCGGAATTAAAATACGACGCCGCCATTAGTCTATTGCGCAACCACTTACAGCCGGCACCATCCGCGTTAGCGGAAAGGTATCGTTTTAGACAAAGGAGGCAAGCAGCGGATGAGAATATAGCAGAGTACGTAGCAGAGTTAAAAAAATTAACACGTCACTGCAAACTGGGCGACGGTCTTAGTGAAAGTCTACGGGATCAATTTGTCTGCGGATTAAGGAGCGATGTTATTCGGCAGAGGCTGTTTGCGGAGGATGACACATTAAGTTTCACCAATGCGATAAAGATTGCCAGCTCGTTAGAGGCCGCGGAGCGGAACGCTGCGGCGGTAGATGCAACCGAGTCAGCAACATCAGGAAGAGATATGGCGGGGGTGCACTCGCTGGTGATGGGGAAAAATGGATCGCGGAGAACGTTGGGGGAGGCGGGCGCGGAATGCGCGGAGACCGCCAGCCACAACACAATCGGCCGGGATCGTCTACAGCTGTAAGGAGGCCCGATGCAATTAGCAGTCAAAATTGCAGCGGATGCGGAAGGACAGGCCACGGTTATGAGGATTGTCGGTTCCGGGAATACGTGTGCAGCAGGTGCAAGCGCACGGGTCACCTACGACGCGTGTGTCCGGGACAGGGCGCGGCATGTGTTCGCACAACCAGGCATACCGCTTGTCATCAGGCAGACGTGGCACGGCATGATGAAGACGGGGGTCAATTAGAGGAGTTTCATCACCTATGTTTAGGTGACTATAAGGCGGTGAGTTTGCCAGTGACTGTAAATAATAAAGTCATCAATATGGAGGTTGATACGGGAACGGCAGTGTCATGCATTAGCGAACAAACTTATAAGCTATATTTTAGTACCATTAAGTTAGATAACACAAGTGTTAGTTTGAAGTTCTATGACGGTTCGTCACTTAGACCTTTAGGGTTAATCACACCGGAAGTTTGTTACGGTGGAGAGAAAAAAAGATTAGAATTGTTTGTTGTCAAAGGAGGAACCACGTCCTTGTTGGGCAGGCAGTGGTTATCTGAATTAAAAATAAAATTACCATTATTTACCAACTGCCATAACTTGCAGAGTAACCGAGGTAAATTAGATGATCCATTGAAAAATTTGTTTTCCAGATATAAAGAATTGTTTAATGGAGGGCTGGGACGGTACACGGGCGGCAAGGCGACGTTAAGAATCCGCGAGGGGGCAGCGCCGGTGTTTCACCGCGCGCGGCCAATACCGTATGCACTGCGCGAGCGCGTCGACGCCGAGCTGGACGCGATGCTGCGCGACGGCGTCATCGAGCCCGTCGACTGCTCCGACTGGGCCTCGCCGCTGGTACCGGTAAACAAAGCTGACGGTTCGTTGAGAATTTGTGCTGACTATAAGGCGACGATAAACCCTGTTTTGTTAGTTGATCGATATCCCTTACCTAGAGTTGAGGATTTAATTGTTAGGTTGAGTGGGTCGAAATATTTTTCAAAAATTGATCTGTCTCAAGCCTATAATCAGATAGAGCTAGACGATACTAAAAAAGTTAACCGTAGTTAATACGCACCGCGGCTTATTTCAGTATAATAGGTTAGTGTACGGGCTAGCATCGAGTGCTGGAATATTTCAACGTATTATGTATAATTTGTTAAAGGACATCCCCAATGTCGAAGTATTTTTAGACGACGTCATAATCGGCGGGAAAAATGAGTTCGACCACCTTCAAGCCGTAGAAGCTGTCTTTAGCAGGTTACATAAGAACGGATTGAAATTAAAAAATCATAAATGTATATTTTTTTGTAAACGAAGTGCAGTTTTTAGGGTATGTACTTAGTAAAGACGGAGTAAAAACAGACCCGAAAAAGATAGAAGCAATTGCTAAGCTACCTAGGCCTAGTAACGTGACCGAGGTACGGTCTTTTTTGGGTTTAGTAAATTTCTACGCAAAATTTATTAAAAACATGAGTAGTAGGCTCGTACCATTATACCAATTACTGAAAAACGGTCAAAATTGGTTTTGGTCGAAGGAATGTGAGCGCGCGTTTGTTGAAGTCAAAAATGTATTAATCAGCGCGGAAGTATTAGCTCACTACGACCCCCAGCGGCCGGTTATAGTAACGTGCGACGCGAGCGCCAGAGGGATAGGGGCCGTGTTGTCGCAGCCGAGCGACGACGGCAGTCGCGAGCGCCCCGTGGCTTATGCGTCACGCACGCTTAACGACGCCGAGAAAAACTACTCGCAGATACATCGCGAGGCATTAGCGATTATATTTGCCGTAAATAAATTCCATCAATATTTGTACGGTCGGCATTTTACTCTGCGCACCGATCACAAGCCGCTAGTGTCCATTTTTGGACCGAACACAGGTATACCAACTATGGTAGCGAGTCGGATGCAACGGTGGGCAATTATTTTATCCGCTTATTCGTTTGATATTGAGTACATACGTACCGATGTGAATGGAGCGGACGGCCTGTCGCGGCTGCCGCTGTCGTCTAGTAAGATGACTCATGCGGCGCCCGAGCAAACGTATTTGCATTTCGTTCAGCAATCATTGTTGTTAGATTATAATAAAGTTAAAAATGAAACCGCTCGGGATCCAATTCTCTCGAAGGTTATTAGCTATATTCGGGATGGTTGGCCAGGGGAATGTAATATTAAGGGTTTACAACCGTTTTTTAATCGAAAGAATGAATTATATGAGGAACTAGGCTGTGTGATGTGGGGGCATAGACTAGTTGTTCCGGAGGCCTGTAAGGAAAAAATTTTATGTATGATTCACGAACCTCATATGGGCATTGTCAAATCCAAGGCTATAGCTCGAAGCTATGTTTGGTGGGCCGGAGTGGACGAGGCGGTGGAGCGGATATGCCGGGAGTGCGAGATATGCGCGGCGCAAGCGGATGCTCCGCCAAAACAGACGCCTCGTATGTGGCAATGGCCCAATCGTCCTTGGTCAAGGATACATTTAGATTTTATGGGGCCCGTTTTTGGAAAAACGTACTTGGTAGGGGTCGATGCGATGTCAAAATGGCTAGAAATCTATCAAGTAGCGAGTACGGCAGCCACGGGGGTAATAGATAAGTTAAGGGAACTTTTCAGTCGTTGGGGACTACCCAAACAAATCGTGACGGACAACGGTCCCCCGTTCTCAAGTATAGAATTCAATAACTTCATGTGCAGTCACGGTATCGATCATATTTTCACGGCTCCGTATCACCCTGCTTCGAACGGTTTAGCTGAAAAC